GACGCACATAAAGGGGATATTTCCCCTGCCTATGCATCTCCTCCACTGTCAAATCCACTTCCTCTACCCATCCTCTCCTTATAAGAAAAGGATGGTAAAGAGAAAGGGACTAAAATTAGGCCTCTGGCACCATACTCATCAGACGAAACACGGAATTGCTTCCATTTCACGCCTGCGTTCTGTGTGGTTGTGGTATTACAGCGGGCGTGCCGGCCCTGCAGTGCTAAGATGTTAAAGCGGGCACTACCACTGTTACTACTTATATTATACTTATGTTATACTTTCTTCGGTCTTCCTCTACCTTTGTAGCCATTCACATACAATCTTCACACTTTCTGTGAGAATGTTTTTTTTAAGATGTAACAGATATAACCAGTAGTGGGGTTAGAATAGGATAGGATAGGCAGGCCGCTCATGGCGATGAGGCACCACGAGCACATTTATTCGTATGGTAAAGCTGTATATTTCTTGTATGCTAGTTATAGTGACCTAGTAGTATTTTCAACGAATATTTTAGTTTTATTTCGTTAAAATAATATTTTCGATGTAATTTCGACATTTTATATGCCTTGTAAATTTTATGGCAACAGAATTGTCGAGATTTACGAGTAAACGTGAGAGATTTTGATAAGGTTAAAATTTAATCGCCCTTCAGAGTGTAATATAATTTAGTGAAATATTTTACAAGGCGTAATAAAATGTTACGTATCTCAAAAAACATGTCTTATTTAGTCTGTGTATATTTTCTCATATTACAACATGTTTGTTAACTATGAGTTTCTATTACACAGATTAAGATAATATAAGATCTTAGGGCCTGTCCCACCAAATTGTAATTTGTCTGATAACAATCCTACGTGTAAAATGTGATGGAAATATCGGATTTTGTTCCCTTATCTGAAAGTGACGTCATTTTTAAGCAGAGCCTCTATCAGCCAGTGGTGAGACAGGCCCTACTAAGAGTCAATAATCAGAAAGATAATTCTGTAGTGTTTTAATTTAAAGATATCTATACAATATGTCTGATGTAATCTCTGATCGATTCTTAATAAATAAACTACACTTTACTATTTATTACTACGTATAACCTCCAAAAATCTAGTCAGATACTGTTTAGTTAAACACGTGTTTTAACTCTGCTTATAATTAATATTAAAG